GTGCAGACCATTCTTTCGAGAGGCCAGGCTAGAGAAAGGGAGGAATGAGGTGGTAGCTAAAGATGGAGGCACTGGAAGGAGTGCTGTGTTCAGAGAAACTTGAGCAGGTTCATAGGTGGAGGGAAAGTAACTATTGCTGGCGAAGGAGGTGAAAATACAGAGGAGAGGTGGGGGTAAAAGTCGAGTCCCAGAGGAGACCAGTGCCCAGGTGGAGGAATGAGTTTGGAACGGAAGGCACGCTTCACCTTCAGACTAGAGGACAGGGGGTGAGGAGGATGGATAAAGGCATAAATGCGCTGACTTCATGCATAGGTTTATTTTACGCTGCCTCATTTCACAAAGGACTGGAGGCGTTTCTATGGATAAGTTGATAGGTTGAAGGGGCCTGGAACTTGAGAACTCCCCCTGGAGGAGCTCTGCTGTCTCCAGAAGCGGGAGGCAAGGCCCCTCGCGGAGGAAGGAGCAGGGTGTGCCTCTGGCGCTTCAGGAGACAGGCAAAGGACTGCAAAGGAGAGGGAGCCCAGCCGGACCGTTTACAAAGACCGCTGGATGAAATGAGGGCCCGGATATGGCCCTCCCACAACTGTGGAATCTTCTCCAGCAGCTTGGCGGGGAGAAGCCTTGTGCCGGTTTGCAAGTCAAGTCATTGCTCTGAGCTGCAGTTTCCTCACCTGCAAACAGGGAGGAAAAAAAAGGTCTAGAGGGCTGTTGGGAGGATGAAACAAAAGGACCACCATGAAGCACCTGGCCCAGTGCCTGGCACACGGGAGTGGCTCACTGTTCTCCCTGCCCCACTCCCCTTGAGCAGACCTGAGATAATGTGACCTGGATGGAAAGAGATGTGGGCGTTGGTACCTTTTACCTGTGGATGCTGTTGGGCATGACAGTTTTAAATGTAGTCGGACCTCATTATTATTCACAGTAGTTCTGTTCCATAAAGTTGCCCTAAAGACCGAAATAGCAAATACTGAATCATTGGCCCTTAAGGAAAGACAGGGTTCCTGTGAGCCTCTGGCCACGTTTTCACCAGCCTATCAATACACAACCTTGTTTTATGCACATTTCTGTTTTAAAAAACACCTTATTTAATATATACTGTTGATTCATTAACATTGAATTCGTGGCCAACAGCACGATACTTCATGCCTGAATGAAGGTTATCCAAAACATATCTTTTCTCCCCAAGGCACCTCACAGCCTTCTCATGCTTAGATACACTGGGCAGGGTTTCAGCACTGCAGTTGGGGGCCATTTTAAATAGCAAAATCACCACAAGAAAGCACAAAAATGAGAAAAGCATGACACTGAATAGACCACAGAAAGGACACTTGTTTACAGCCTGAGAGCTGAGGGCAGAGGCCACCTGGCTCGACCTCAGCTGGGAACGTGTGTGCTTGGCAACTGTAAATTTTCACCACTCTGTGCATGCGCACATCCCCAAATGCCTGCAAAAACACCTCAGACATCGGTGTGGGGGCTGCAAGTAGATTTTAGCAGTAAGGGAGTTTGCAAATGCAGAATCCATAAATAATAAGAACCTACTGTCTTTTTTTCTGAATACAAAATCACATAATAAACAGAGATATACAATGTAAACATTGAAGCCCTCCTCCATAATCCTAGCCCATATAGAAACACATTTAAAATTGCTAGTGTTCTACAGATTCTGGCTCCATGTATAACGCACATGTGCGTGACTGGGTGTGTTCATGTGTGAGTACGCATCTGTGTGTTTGGGTCTTCCCTTTTTTTTTTTTCACTCAACAATATCTCTTGGATTGTTTTTCCAAAAACACCTCCATGATGTTACCGGTTTAAGCATGTGAATGGGGGCGGAGACATTTACGGCAGGCAGGATCTCCGAGTGTTAGGCCCCTCAACCGCGGGCTGGGGGGCAGATCCAGAAAGAGCAATGACTTGGCAAACTTAACTATAGCCAATAGTTTGAGTGCAGTGCTATGCATCTTAATTGGGTTAAAATAGAAATTCAGCTGAGTACCTGTGAGCAGCTAATTGGCTTCATTAGACAATTCGTGAGCTGGGCAGCATCCCATTGAGCAGCCGGAAGGAGCTGCACAGAATGGAGGGTTTCATAGGAAGGAGCGGAGGAAAACGGGGATTTTTTTCTATTAGTGAAAGAAAGAGGATTATTTGGGGGCCTGGATGTCTTTTCTTTGAAGGGAGGGAGGGGAAAGGTTTTGGTTGTGTTGATTGCCTCTTCTTTATATGGGGGGATGGAGAGGGCCGTGGAGCACATTGCCTTACTGGTGCTTGACCAGAAAATTCCGGATTGATTGATTATGTTTCTGGGAGCAGTTGGAGCTGCAATTAAACTGGGTATTAAAGTTAGGTCTGGTATCCTGGGCTTTTAGCATGAGTGACGCCATTTTGGGCCTGTGGTTGTTTGGTTGTTGTCGTTTTTTGGTTTTTCTTTCACAACTGAGATGGTCAGGAGAAGAACGGTTTGAAGGGTGGAAAGGCGAAAAGCTGGAAAGTATTATGAAAAGTCAAATAGGCTGCGACTTTCAGCCTGAGGAAACCATATTCCATACGCCTTGGAGGAGACTGGAGCTAGATATTAAGAAGAACTCAGCTACTGAGAGGTTTTTACACCACACCATTAAACAGTACCACAGCCTCTCTCAAAACAGATAGAGAATAACACACACAGGAATGCTAACGTGCTGCAACAAAGACCTCAAACACAATGACTCCAATGGAAGCCATTGTAGAAAATGGAAGTTTATTTCTCACACTCTAGTCCATACTGGTAGGTGGCTCCACACCATGTAGTCACTCGGAAACCCAACTCCTTTCATATCTTTGCTCTGTCGGCCCCAGTGAAGCAGTATTGAAACCAGGCCCCTGGCAGATCTGTGTTCCAACTGAAGGGAAGAGGAAATGGAGCAGGGAAAAGCAAAAACCTAATGCCTTAAGGACTATTTTATTTACATTCTACTGAAAAGGGCTTAGTCAGGAAGCCACACGCAACTGCAAGAGCATCTGGAAAGTGAAGTCCCTAGCTGCCCAGCCATTTTTCCCGCTACTATGTTGCTATAGAAGAGATGGATGGATTACATGTTGGGTAAATGAAGCCTTTTCTCTTTATTTCACTTCAAATAATTCAATAATTTAGACTCTGCCCTCTTTACAAAAAAAATGGAGGTACGTATCAGTATGTCACTTGGAATTCTTGTGGTTGCTAAGTGACAGCACACAGCTATTAAACTTGTTAAGCGACAAGATGGACCATCTCACAGACCCAAAAGTCGAGGCTCCGCATCAGAGCACCAGCTCCTCCTCCTTAGGGCTCTCTTGGACTCAGTCACGTGGTGGCCGCATCCTCAGACTGGGAGCGAGATGGCTGTTGCAGTTCCAAGCATCACCACCAACCATATCCACGTGCAGCAAAGGGGGTAGACAGACTTTTTTAAAGTGAAGAGATCCTTTCCAGAAGCTCCTTCCCCAGCACAGGCTTCCCCTCTGGTTTTTCAGGCCAGACCTGCCTCATGTCCAAGCCCAAAGCATCACTGACAAGAGGCATGTGACCTTCACAATGGACTTGGACCAAATGGGACTCACTCCTGGAATGGGCTGGGGTCAGCCTTCCCTTAGCCACATGGAAAAGGGAACCACCTGAACGGAATTGGGCCTTCCTTCGACTGCAAGGAAAAGATGAGGCATCACTGCTGCATGAGCAACCAAATGTTTCTGGCAATGACAGAGACACGGGACCAGGTGACAGTGTGCTGGAGGACACATGAACAGTAGAGACATACGCTTCCAGCTGTTTGTTAAATTGTAACTTAACAAAGTTGCATTCCAGTGAAGGCCTGGCTGTAGAAGTCAGAAGCCAGGGAGCAACGCTCCATACCTCCCTCTCTCTCACCTCCATATCCAATTTATTACAAGTGCCATAGTGTCTACACTTTCAGTACCCTAACTTTCTTTCCTTACCCACTGCCATGCCCCAGTCCAGGTCTCTTCCTGCAGTCCACACCTCTGCTGCATTTATTCAGCCACATACCTGTACTGTGTAAGGAACACTGCATACAGACAGGCAGACACAGCAGAAGGGGTCTCAGCTCTCACCTTTCTGATGAGCATCTCCTTGACTTCCTGAAACCCACAACACACCAGGTCATGTCCCTACTCGAAAGCCCCATGCTTTCAGGAAATCTGGTACAGTGACCCTCAACACCCTCTACCTCACCCAAGCCCCTCCCCAAACCACCCCCAATAGTTACAGAACTACTTGCACTTCTCCCTAATGTGCCCTCCCCTTTCATGCTTCTATGCTTCTGCACATGTTGTCCCTTCTACCTCAAATCCCCTCTCCATCTGGCATAGAAGACAAGGTCTCCTATTACTCTTTCTCCTGCTCTCCTGCTCCACCTCCCACCCCACCCCCACCCCACGCTTACACAAATATGGCACTCCAGAAATGTTTGCTGAATGGAGGCGATTTCTTGGGTCAGACATTAGCCAGGGCCAGGGCTTTCCAAACTTCTCCTCCTAGCACTCTTTAAGAAAGGGAAAAGAAAATGGGACCCCAGGGCTTAGAAATGTGAGGGTATTGAACTTGCTTTAAGCAAGTAGGGCATTTCTTGAGTTTTATCTTTATATGTTATGCAAAAGTTGTATTCTATGCAGATCACACGCATATTATTGTTTGTTTTAATACAAAATATTATTTTTCCCAAATCTTCAAATTGATGATCCATAAAGATGTTCCTCCTTTACTCGTTAGGCTTTCAAATTAGCTGCTCCCCGCCCCCACCCGCCTCAGGGATCCTCAGCAAGACTTGGATGTTGTTCCAAGTGCAAACCCTGAAGGAACAGCTGGGTTTCGCTCCCCCGGGAGTTGGAGAATGGTTGCGGCGGGGAGGGGGTCCACCAGCTAGAGACTGGGCCCCGCCCCTTCCATCCCCAGCCTGCTGGGAGGGCGGAGTCGGTTGGGTCCCGCCCCCGGGGGCGGGGACGGAGTCACAGCTGCTTGGCGCTCCCGCTTGGCTGGTTCCGGGTTGAGAGGCTGCGCTGGGACCAGAGCAGTGACTGCTGAGCCGGCGGGGGTAAGGATATGCGCCGAGCCGGGTCTTGAGCCCGGGATCGGGCTGCTGAGCGTGCTTGCACCCCTTCTTTCCTCTGCCTGGCACAGCCGCGGTGCGGTTCCGCTTGGCTTCTCCCTCCCCCAGAATTCCGTATCCCCAGTTTCTCCCCTCCCCCCATCGCACCTATCCCGGGATTTCAGCCCCCCTCGAGGCCTCCGTCCCCCTCTTGGATTCCCTTCTCCAGCACCCATTCCTTCGGGCTGTCCCTTCCCCTAGAACCTTCTTGCCAGGAGTCCCTTCCCTCAGACCCCCTCCCTCCAGCACCCGTCGCTCCAGGTCATCCACTGCCTTGAGACCACCTTCCTAAGCTCTCATCTCGGGTAGTCCCTACTCCTTACCCCTTCCTCACGTTACCCGCCTTCCGGACCACTCTCCTTCCTCCTGTAGCGCCTACTCCTTTCTCTCCCTGCCTGCTCCCGCACGCATCACTCCCTGCTGCCCCCAACAACGCCGTGCTCTCGCAGCAGACCCCCTGCATCTCAGGCCCCCATCTCCGTCGCCCCCGGAGCCATGGCCTGCAGCCTCAAGGACGAGCTGCTCTGCTCCATCTGTCTGAGCATCTACCAGGACCCTGTGAGTCTGGGCTGCGAGCACTACTTCTGCCGCCGCTGCATCACCGAGCATTGGGTGCGGCAGGAGGCGCAGGGCGCCCGCGACTGCCCCGAGTGCCGGCGGACGTTCGCCGAGCCGGCGTTCGCCCCCAGCCTCAAGCTGGCCAACATCGTGGAGCGCTACAGCGCCTTCCCGCTGGACGCCATCCTCAATGCGCGCCGCGCGGCACGACCCTGCCAGGCGCACGACAAGGTCAAGCTCTTCTGCCTCACGGATCGTGCACTGCTCTGCTTTTTCTGCGACGAGCCCGCTCTGCACGAGCAGCACCAAGTCACCGGCATAGACGATGCCTTCGAGGAGTTGCAGGTGGGCACCACAACAGGCCCGGAGCCGGGGGGCGGGGCCGGCCCGGGGGCGGGGTCAGGGCTGGCCCGCAGGCGGGGCCCAGTTAGAATTGTCACGGGGCGGGGTCCCTGGCAGGGTTCTGGCCCTATCAGAACTCGTACGGGGCGGAGCCGGTGCAGGGCTGTGGTGAGGGGCGGGGCTTGGGGTGAGGCCTGAGGTAGACCTGAAGTTGGGGTAGGTCCATGGTTGGGGAGAGGTCAGCAATGCAGTGAGGGAAGGACAAATAAGACCAGAACTGGACCAGGTACAGGCTGGGACAGGGTTGGGGATGGGCTGAATCAGAGCTGGGCAAGGATAGGGCCACTGTCAAGTGTCAGGAGGGACTGGACCTGGCCACAGACGAATTGTTCAGGACAGTTTGGGACAAATACAGATTGGTATGGGAACACAGTGAAGGCTAGACATGGGGTGGAACTGCCTCCCAGGATGGGCCAGGACTATATGGAGTAGCTGGGCAGCGGGCGTGGGAGCCCAGAGGGGCCAGGCTCAGTCAGGTGTGCGTCAGGAGCATGGGACAGTGCTCGAATGATTAAATCTGAAAGAGTCCAATTTAGACTCGGCGAACCACTGAGAGGGTAGGTTCGGGTGCCAACGGCTAGGCCGAGGTGTGTGAGGGGTTAAGGCTGGGATCTAGTCCGGACACTGTAGGAACCGTTTGGGGTTTAAGGTCAGGACTTGAGGACTCAGGGTTTGGAGAATGAGGCTCTGAGGTAAGGTGATTTGAGAAGGCAGGGTGTGGACCTGCAGGAGTCTCCAGGGGCTTTTGATGACCTCCTTGGCTCTGTCACTCACATCAGGACCTTTGAGGACTGAACGAAACAGTACATGCACAGTAACCTGAGCACAGTCAGCCTAGGACTGTAAACATTCTCCCTAAACCTTCCTGTCCTCACTAACCAACTCCTACTGAATTCTAAAAGCCCCGCTCAAACATTTTCTCTGTGTAAGCATCCCCAAGATCCACTGGCAAAAAAAAATTGCACTAGAGCTGCATTTCCCCTAATAGTCTCTGTTAATAAGTATGATGTTTTAAAAAGTGCTGTTCCAGAAAGCTATGTGTGGGAAATATAGTATATTCTCTATTCATCACCCCTTGGAGGATTCTCAGTGTACATCTTCATATTGAAGGCTTGGAGAAATCTTACAGCAAGAAACTCATTTTACTATATTTAATAAAATTATTCCCAAGCTTCCTGGAGCCTAGAATCTTTTTCTCAAGTGAAATCATTTAAATCCAGCCCCTCATGTCTCAGGCCTTGGCATACCAGTCCAGCACACAGTTCCCCAAGACCAGGCACAGTCTGTTATTCATCTTAGCTGTGGCCCCAAAGCCTGGCACAAGGCCTGGTCGACAGCACATATCAGTAAAGGCTGAATGAACGAATGAATGAATGACCAACCTTGGCCAGAGCTGACCCAGACTTATGGAGACTTGGAAGCAGAAGGTTTTTGATGCAAACATTTTATGAACATGCAGTGGGCTAACTTGGGAGACAGTGAGCTCTCTGAACCTCAAGATGCTTATTCAGGAGATAAATAACTACTTTGTCCCATGTTGTAGGGACGTCCCCCCACCCTTCTACATGACTTCCTACAAGTCAGCCTGCACCTGGCAGATGCTCGTGGAGATGAGTGTGGAACCCAGGAGAAATGGCCTCATGTTCACCATTACCCACGCTCTGTCCCTTTCATCTCCAAACCGTGACTGGCTCTCTTCCAGTCCAGCTCTTTAAGGATAAAGAGCAAAAGTTCGGGGCTCTGAGGGCTTGTAAAAGGCTAGTATTGGCCCTCCACCTTCCTTGTCCCAGGCACACAAACTAGGAAGAGGAGGAAAGAGCCTTTGACAGAATTGGGCACAGGTTGTAAGGGTTTGAAGGGACTCTGTCTGAAACCATCTGTCCATCCTCTCCATTATGTAGCTGTGGAGGCTGAGGTCCAGCCAGGTGATGTGACATACCCAAAGCCACACACCAGACAACGAGAGTTCTGGACTAGAAATCACAGCTGGACCCGGGCCGGATCCCTGAGTCCCCTCCTCTCCCTGTGCAACTTTCTAGTTGGAAAATCTTCTCCCTGAACCTTGGTTTCCCTTTCTGTAAACCAGAAACTCAGAATTACTATGTTTTGGTCCATTCTGTGTCCTGGGGAATATAGGAGAGACTGAACATACGTTTTCTGCAGACATTATTGAAACCCTGTTCATTCTTAGGGGAAACGACAAGCAGGACTACCACTCACTACCTTGTGGTTATTGTCCTGGGGTCAGACACACTTGCTTTCCAAACCTTCCTTCAACATGACCTGTGTAACTTAGCCAAGCCACTGCTCGTAAGCCTTGATGTTCCCGTCTGTAAAGTGGGGTCAAGATGATTCTTTCCTATGAGGGTTTTCATGAGGCTGATCTGAGATGGACCTGCTTTTAGGGATACCTGGCACATGGCAGGGGGCTAGGTCAGCACGCACTCCCATTCTTTCTCCTCCCACCTGTGAGAACTCACATGCCCAGATGGGGGAATGCCCAGACCTGCCTCTCTTGCCTGAGAATGCCTGGCGTTGGTGCCTCTTTGGGCTTGGCAAGAAGGTGACAGAGAAACATGCCTCCCTAATGGAGAGGTAAGCTCCTGGGTGAGGTTCAAGGCACTCCCAACCTCTACCTGCATCTGTCTCCTTGTGGGGAAGCCAGCTCGTTAGCTCTTTAGGCACTGGGAATGAGGCTGAGTCTACTCACCACACCCCTCTCCTCCCAGATGCAGGCTCCTGATGCCTGGGACTGGGCCCCTCTCCTAAAGATAACAGGGCCTTGGAGATCATCTGGTGCAACCTTCAGTTGACAGATGGGGGCTTTGCCCAAGGTCTTGAGGCCGGAGGAAGCTGGACCCAGGCTCAGTCGGAGACCTGTGCCCCCCCTTCCAGTTGGCCTGGAGCTTGTACATTTATTACAAATCCTGGAGGCGGCAGAGCAGAAAGGTGGAGAGCTCTCTGGCTGTGTATTCAGACAGCTCCAACCCTGGCACTGCCATTTTCTGGCTGTGTGACCTTAGAAAAGTTACTTATCCTCTGTGAGCCTTACATTCTTCATTGACAGCATGGACTGATGGGGTCGGATTAAATTAGAGGACATGTGCAAGAACTTAGTACTGTACTTGGCCCATAGTAAGCACTCAATAAATAATAACAGCTCTAGGATATCACATCGTACTCTGCTGTCAAATGTCAAATGTCTATTGACATTTCAGGCCAAAGAAGGCTTTGTTTTGTGCAAGGCACAAACGCAATCCTGTGCCCTGTATATTTAGCAGCATCCCCAGCCTCTGTCTACCCACTAGATGCCAGTAGCACCCCTGTCCCCCAAGCTGTGACCACCCACAATGTCTCTAGACTTCACCACATGTGCCCCGGGGTCAAAGTCACCCCTGGTTGAAAACCCAGGCCTAAAGAAGACCTACTCAGCTTTCCAGGCTCAGCTCACATGTCACCTGCTCCACGAAGCCTTTCCTGACCTGCCAAGCAGAACTGCCTGACACTCTCCAGATTCTAACACGGGGTCAGACCCTGGTGTCAGCATGAGAAGCTGTGTGTCCTTGGTCAGGTTACTTCACTTCTCTAGGGTTCCACCTGTCCATCTATAACAGGGGTCAAAGACAGCGTAAAGGTGAGGGATGCTGCTTCCGAAGTGCCTGCTACTGCCCTGGCCGCTGTGGCTCAGTTGGTTGGGTGTTGTCTCGCAAAGCCAAGGGTCACCGGTTCAATCCCTGGTCAGGGGACATGCCTGAGCTGCAGGTTTGGTCTCTAGGCGGGGTGCTTAAAAGAGGCAACCACCTGATACTTCTCTCTTACAGTAATGTTGCTCTCCCTGTCTATCTCCCTCCCTTTCTCTCTCTAAAATAAGTAAGTAAACAAAATCTGTTTTTAAAAAGTGCCTGATACTGTACCTGGCACACAACAATTTTTAAGTATCTTTTTTTTTCAGATTATAGGATTAGTATAATAAACAGAGCCTTGTGATGTAAAAGTTAAAGTCTCCTAGTAGTGCCACCCCATAGGAAAACTTGCTTAGAATTGCTTTCTAGTTCTACAGAACTTTTGTTGTGTAAATAACACGTGAATATGTGTGTGTGTGTGTGTAGGCAGGGGGATGCATTGTTTTTCTTTTCCTTTTTTCACTGCTGAGCACTAGACCACAGAGCAAAGGGGAGGGAGGGAGCCCCATCTCAGCAGGATTGGGGATTTCTCAGGCAACACTTATTGAGCTCTAGCCTAATAATGTCTGGGGCTGTACTAAGCGCATTTATGGTATTACCTCATTTAATCTTCATAACGCCCTACCCAGTGGGTACTGTAATTTAATTCTTTTACAGATAAGTAAACAGAGGCTCAGGAATGCAGTGACTTGTTTGGTCGCCCAGCTAGTAAATGGCACAGGCGGGATTTGAGGCCAGTCTGACAGGGCCACGTATGGCCTTGGAGCTGCCTCCAAAGGCCGAGCGGTTGTCTTCCCACCTCCCCACCCGCTTCCTGCCTGTCTTTGTATTTCAAGTACTCAGCACAGGGTCAGGCTAAGGACACTGTCTGTATCCGCTGATGCACCAGGGGCAGGTGGCTGGATGTCGTGTCTTGGTCAGGCAGGGTATCCGGCTCTGTGGCCAGCTCAGCTTCCTGACCTCCAGGGAAAGGATCGGGTTCAGGCCCAGCCACCCCCTCCGGGCTCATGTGACCGCTGGAGCCTTTCCCAAGGCCTCCTTCATGCCACAGGAGACAGCAGTGTGTCAGCCTTGGATGTGCGCCTGAAATACTCGGTGTAGGGATCCAGGGACACCGGGGCAACCACATGGGGAAGGAGCTTAAAGGGTTAGGGGGACCGGGTTTGAATCCTGCCTCCGGCTTCCCCTACCTGAATGGAAGGTAATGCCTTCTCTGCACCCTTTCCCAGTCTGGGAAATGGAAGTAGGAACAAGACTGTCCACTTGATGTATAAAGAGGGAGAGAGAGACTTTCTGCCTATTCAAAGAAATGACAGATACAAAGAACAGGGAGGCAGCCAGGTTGCCTGTGTCCTGAGAAGCTGCCTCTGCTGTGACTTTCATGTGCAGGCAGCGGCCTCCGTGGGGGTGAGGCTGGCGGTGAGTCGAAGCCAGGACCAGCTGCTGGCCTCTTACTTCCCTTGTCATAGGTGTCCTGTCCATTCAGGCTGCCTTGGCTAAGTACAGGCTACTGTGTAGAAACCTGGAGTTGAAGTTTACTTCATAGAGAGAAAAGGACGTGGTAGGGAGTGACAACGGAAGTAGTAACAACTCTAAAAAAGACACTGGCCGAAGTTTACTGGCTACGTGCTGTGTGCCAGGTGCTGTTACAGGCATTGAATCCTCACAGCAGCCCCGCCTCCCTTCCCTAATCTGAGTGGGACTAGGATCAGCCCATTGCACAGATGAAGACACTGAGGCCAAGAGGCTCAGTAACTTGCCTGAGGTCACACTGCAAGGGTGAGGCGGAGCTGGGATGATGCAGACTAGGGTCTGTCTGCCTAGAGCTTAGCCTCCCCACCAATATTCTAACTGCCTCAGGGAGCATCCGAATGGGGAGGGAGCTCAGAAACCACCAGTTCCACCCTCTCCCCACTTTCCACACGGGAAGTGGACACCCGCAGTTACACCGGAACCCAGCTCAGTGGACTCTCATCCACTGGTGTTTTCACAACATCATTGACCTTCAGGACCTTGAGATCTGCTTGGACACTTGGGGCGGGGGAGGGGTACAGAGGACTTGGAGGTGGGTTCCACTCTGCACTCAGATTCATTCAGTAACGTCTCCAGTTGACACCCCTGCTAACAGGTACTGAGGCCACGGCCTGTGAGGAGAGAATGAATGAGCCCCGGCCTTGCTGTGGTTCTCTGTCCCTCTCTCTCTTGATTAATCTTAATGGCAACCTTATGAATTGGGTCTCATTGCTACATTTTTAAATGAGGAAACTGAGGCTCAGAAACTGTGCCTTAGTACAACTACCATCACTGAAGCTGGAACTCGGACTCGGGTTATCTGAGTCTGCCCAGGGACAGGCGTGGAGGTGAGCACCACCTGCTGTGTTGTGTCTGGAAGGGAGGCTGTATGGGAGGAGGCGAGAATGGGAGAGTGAGGTCTGACCAGCTCAGGAAGGACCTTGAATACACTCTTTGCCAGCCCAAGGAGCTTGGACTTGATCCTGGAGATGCTGGGCAGCCAGGAACGGGTTTGAGCAGGCGTGCGTGGCCTGGGCTGATCTGCTCAGGGTGGACTGGTGGGAGCAGCCTGGAGGCTGGGGGAGCAGCCAGGATGCGTGGCCAGAGGCAGCAAAGCTCAGAGATAGACAAGATAAACCAGAGTCCGTATCTGCTGGGAGGAGCGGGAGCATCAGGAGTCTGGACCTTGAAGAGGGATTGGGAGGAAAGGAAAAAGGAGACGCAAGTTCAGTTTGCCCTGTTAAGATTTCAGCATCCTTGGGTCAGAGAAGGGAAGAGAGAGCAGTACCAGGGCACAGAGGACGGGAGAGGGCCTCGAGCACCTTCAACGTGCCAGCACCGTGCTGGGCCCTTACATGGGTACCGGCTCGTTTAATCTTCATCACAACCTCATGGTGGCTCTTATCCCCATTTGATGATAAGGCTCTGAGAGGTGGACACTAAGAAAGGAAAGAAGTGCCACTGGGATTTGAACCCAGACTTTTCTGATGCCAGAATGCATGCTGTCTCCACTGGGCTGCACTGATCGGTGAGAGGGCAGAGTCCCTGAAGTCAAGGGGAGGTGGCTTCCTGAGGCAGCCTTGTCCTCTGGGCTGGGAGAGGGCGGCCTCTCAGGAGGGGAGGTCTGGCTTCCCGTCTGCCCCAGCCGCTATCCCAGCCCTGGCCTCTCCAAAGGAGCCCCAGAGCCTCTCAGCTGACATTTTTGCGTAACTGTGTGCTCAGGTCTGCACCAGCCCTGACTCCATCCCCTCTCTAGGGCAAGGGGTGGAGAGCCGGGGCTCTGCCCTCTGCCGGTGCCTCCTCCTCTCCCCTCCTCCTGCCCCGCCTCAGCTCTGATTGGCCCCTGCGGAGGCCAGCTCCCCCAGGCTGACCTTCAAGGCCTTCTCCACACCCACAACGCTCACCTGAGCCGGCCTGGTGACCTTTCAGCTTGTGACTGTCCCTGGCCACATACTTGGCTCCAGCCATCCCTTACTGCCCCCATGCCAGGTAGGTGTGCCCCTGCCTGACTAGTTCTGTCTGCCAAAATGCTTGGGCCCCACCCTGGAGACTAGAAGGAACCCTGCCCACCTTTTTCCCTGATCCTTCCACCAAAAATAAACTCTCTCCTGGAAGCTCCCCAGGTCTGAGTCCCTACTTTCTATATTATTGTAATTACTGTGATGATAATGACAACTGTTAAGAGCGACAGAGCACATCCTGGGCATCGTGGCGGGTCGTGAATTAGGTCGTCATGTAATCCGCACAACCCTGTGGAGCCTGCGCCGTTATTAGCTGCGCTTCACAGATTTGGCAACTGAGGTGGAGGGAGGGTGTCGGATGGTGGCAGCCAGCTGGGTTGGTTCCTAGGTGGTCCCACCATGTTTATTCTGTTCCCCTGTGGAGTCTCACATTCACATTTCTGCCTCCCCAACCAACCGCAGCCTCCTCAAGGGCAAGGACTGTGTCCATAGCTCCCGGAGTGGCTGACCCAAGGCCTGACTGTGGGTGACCAGGCATGATGCTGTGTTGAATTGGGTGGGAGACAGAGCAGCCAAGGGTTTCCAGCACGGATTTGGAGACACTCAGAGCCCCTTATAGCTGAGTGACCTTAGGCCAGCCGCACGGCCTCTCTGAGCCTCCGTTTCTCCCTCTGTGAGATGGAGGTGATAAGGCACTAACCTCCTGAGCTTGTGAGAATTAGACAACATGACGCCTGTGAAATTCAAACCCCAATCACGCCACCTCCACCCCTTCTTGTCCCCAGCTCTGGCAGTGCCAGCATCCATCCTCCCATTTAGCCTTGTCACTTAGGAGTTTATCGATAGCTTCATGTTTCCTGTCTGACCTCTGCTAGGGGTAAATTACCTGGTTGGTCCTCCTGTGTCAGTCCGTGTGGCTGTGGGCCACCCGGTCCCTCTTCTTGGACTTTAATTTCCTGTTTTAGAAATCCAGGGGGTTGGACCAGATGGTCCTGGGAGCTCCTTCCTGTTCTGGCTGCCCGAGGATGCAGGGAGGCACCTGGACACAGCAAGGGGTGAGGACGTGGAGAAGTGACTCAAAGCCTCACATGGGACACGGTGCCCACTCCATCTCCCGAGTGCTCAGTGTAAGCCAAGCTCTGGCCTGTGAGGCTATACACTTCCTACTATTAATCTCATTTCTCCCTCCCAACCCTGGGAGGTACTGTTATCCCCACTTCACAGATGAGGGACTGGGGCACAGAGAGTTGGGGTACATGCCCAAGGTCACACAGGGAGCCTGTGGCAGAGCCAGCTTCCTGACCAGGTCTGATCCCAGGCCTAGAAGGAGACGAAGGGGGCGGGGAGCAGGGGAGGCAAAGCTCAGGGTGCCTCCTAGTCCTGCCCTGTGAGTTCCACGGTTTGGTTTTCCTAAGTTATCTATTCCCTCAGTCCAGGTAGTCCTCCTGGGGTGAACTGCCTGCCTGGGGCCCTCTCTCCCCTCCCACCCTTCAGGAGGTGAACTCAGGTCTGGGCAGCCTCTTCCCTGGACATATTCACACCAGAGTCACTCTGTGGTTGGCCCTGTCCTAGGTACTGAGAGTGCAAATCCATCAGATGCAGTCCCTGCCTCCAGAGCCCACAGTCTCGTGGGGGAGATGGACAGGTGACTCTGTAATGGATGTGCCATGTGTGCCACCGTGGTGCCAGCGAAGGAGGGTCTGGGACAGTGTAGACAGTGTGAGATGACGTTTACTCTAGGTCTTAAGAGATGGGCATGTAGTATAATAAGTGAAGGACAATGTGGGCGAGCACTCCAAACAGAGGGAACAACAGACACACAGACCCGAGGACAGCACGCACGGTGCTTAGTGCACCTGAAGCAGCACCGTCCAGGAGTTTCTACAATGAAGGGAGTGTTGTGGGTCTGTGCTGATACAGACGCCACAAGCTACGTGTGACTTTTGAGCACTCGAAGAGCGCACTCCAGTGCAAGTGGTGCAACTGAGGAACATAAGTTTTAATTTCATTTAGTTTTTATTTCATTTTAACTTAAACACACACATGTGGCTAGTGGCTACCATATTGCACAGTGCAAGTCTAGACCAAGAGTTAAGGCTGGAAAAGAAATCTGGGGCCGGTGGTGAGGGGCCTTGAATACCTTGTTCCGATTTGTGCCATTCTTCCCAGACAATGTGGGAATCTTGGAGAAGGCGTGGGGGGAGGAACGTGGACATACCTGCCCTTTACAACAATCACTGCAGCTGCAGGGTGGGGAGTGGGGGGACTTGGAGAGTGCAGGGCCAGGGAGGGGCCTGGGACCACAGCCCAGGAGTCTGGAGTGGGGGCTGAGGGGTGGGGGGTGGTGATGGCAGAAGCATGGAGAGGAGGGAACACATTTCAGGGCAAACTGAAGACTGGATTGGTAGGTGAACAGTGTCAAAGATGACTCCCCAATTTCTGGCTTCGCTGGCAGTGGGGGGTGGGGTGCCCTTCACTGAGGTGGGGAACATGGCGGGAGTAGGTTGGGAGTCCCCTAATATTGTACTTCCAGCATTCACTGCAATGGTAATGTCTGTGTCTCTGTCCTCCCCCCAACTCATCTGCACCCCTCCTGAGGCATCATCGGTTGGAACTTGTCCCTCATCATTCTCCCTGCCGCTGACACAGCACCATGTGGGGCCCAATTCAATTGCTGCTGGGGTCCAAGAGGAAGGGACAAGCCTGCTGTCCCTATTCCCTGGCATGAAAGCAGGAAGGAAATGTGTCCAAGTCCCTCAGGGGCCCTGTTCAGAACATGGCCTCCAGGGCAGTTTTCTCAGGGACTCTGAAGAGCGGCCTGGGGGGCTGTGTCCTTTGTGGACCCACGAGGACCACCAGTGGGGAGGATTGCAGCGCTGGGCCCACCTCCTCCAACATTATCTCCGCCAGACCTTGTCCTGAGCTGGCAGGGCCTGAGGAGCAGTCACTCTGCACTCTTATGAGATCCACCTGCTCCAACGGCTCAGCTGCACGGGAATCAATCAGGAATGACTTTCAGCTGTTAGTAATCCTGACTCAAAGGAGCTGAAATTAGGTGGGGGTGTATTTCTCCTCCATGTAAAAATAATAAGTCTAAAGGAAAAGACCCCAGGCAGTGGTGTGCTGGAGCCAGTTTGCACCGGTTCCGGAGAGTGACAGTGCAAACCTCCTCGCAGCCCTGCAGTGTCCTGTGACCTCTCCCATTGAGAGCTTGAAACCGGCTTGGGTGGGATCGTTCACATCACAGAAACTGGCAAACCCTGTAAACTGGGACTTTTTTCCCCCCAGAGGGAGCTGAAGGAGCAGCTTCAGGCCCTTCAGGACAGCGAGCGAGAGCACACAGAGGCGCTGCAGCTGCTCAAACGACAGCTGGCGGAGACTAAGGTGAGCTAGGCCTGGGCAAAGAGGTGGAGCCGGCCCGATGGGGCGGGACCCCGTGGGGGCGGAGCCAACAGGGAATGAGATGGGCAGAGGCTCGGGGATGCTGTGGGGCTTTGAGGGGCCAAACTCCAAGTGGAAGGGCAGGGGCTATGGGGGTGAAACCGAGGTTGAGGGGTCGGCAAAGATTAATGGGATGGGTCTCACTCCAGCGTGACTGAGGACAAGGATTTGGTTTAGTGCCTGGGTTAAGAGTGGGTCCTCTTCTCCCTTCTTTGGGTAGAAGTTGAGGTAGGACCGGGGACCCTGGGGAAAATCCTGGCTCCCTGCAGGGGTCTTTTCCCCTCTTGAACTATTAAACACATCTTCCCTTGAAGCTCTGTCCATGGGCTTATGGGAGCAAACTCTGCAGTCTCTGGCTACCATGTTTAAAAAAAAAGTCTTTTCTCTTGACCCAAGAGAGGGGCTGTGAGTTCTGAGGCAGCCACTCCCTCACCTTATGACTTGCAGTAAACTGCGTACTTTTCTGGGGATCCTATCTGGACAGTGGGGATTCTGCCAGGCTCCTCGCAGCTCACTTCCGGATCCCGGCGCAGGTCTGAGGTGCTCCCTCTAAGTTCCCCTCACAGACAGCTCACTAACTGGGCAAGGCTTGTTTTGATTTCTGCCCCGGCTTTCTGGGACCAAGAACTGGGGACCCTAAGCTCTCGGGTGATTTCACTGTGGCTCCGCGTCATCAGCAGGAGTGCCTCGGCCAGCAGGGGCTGGAGCGGAGCATTAAGAATGCTCTGGGCCTGGGGAGGCCACACTGGGGCACCGGGAGGCCATTGCAGATCCAGATCTGTCATTGCAGCGTGGCAACCTGCTGTGGGGTCTCACACATTTCTCCAGAGAATATTCCAGAGGGACCCCTGGGTGGGACCCTCTGCAGACAGCAGGTGAGAGACAGTGCCAGGACTCTGGCCTATCTGCTTCTCACGGCCTCTTTCCCCATCTGCCTGGTGATTCTATACCTTCCTTGAAAAGAGAAGCAAATGGAAGCCTCTGTCTGGATGAGGTGGGAACATTATGGTCTGTTTCTTCTCCCCGGCATTCTCCTCTCTCCATCCCCCTCATTGTTTTTCTCCACTGACCTCTTCCTCCTCTGATTTCCTGTCCATCTGTCTACCTCTGGGGGGTCCTGTGGGGCCACCTTCCCCTCCAGCTCCCCCAGCCCTGCTTCCTGTCTGGACTAGGGTGTTTATACAAGAAATGCTATGGATGCTTTGGAGGTCATATTTCACCTGGTGCCTGACTCCGCTTTCCTGCGGCGCCTGCTCCCCCAGCGGCCCAGCCTGAGGGTCTGTCTGACCTCCCCAGGCCCAGTGTTTTCCTTGGTCGGCTCTGACTGAGTGATGCATTCTTGGCAGGGTGTTTTTCTGTAGTGGCCCAGCTCCTCCAAGCCCCACTGTGTTCCCAGGGAGGTGGTGGGCTGGGCGGGGGCTTCTTTCCCAGCCACAGCACCAAAGGGACTGGGGGTGAGGCTGGGATAGCTCTGCCATGGACAGAACTAAAGTAACTGGGACACACCCATTAGGATAAACCTTTCTCTGCTAGAAACCGTTTCCCATTCATTGTCTCGCTGAGCCCCCCCCGCATGCCACCTCCAGGACAGCAGGACTCCCCAGACCCAGCACCAGGTGCTTCCCACACAGTGAACAGTTGTCAAACAAATGAGTAAGGGGGGCAGGTGGGAACACCCTTTGAGGTAGAAACTATTGTGGCCATTCTATCAGCAAGGAGACTGAGACACAGAGAGGTCGAGGGACTGGCCTGAGGTCCCAGAGCTATCAGGTGGCCTTATTTTCCAATTCTGTCAGAACCTAGTACCTATCCCAGCCTGGTGCTGGGAGACCCTCAGCCAGGTCCCTGGCTTTGTGATCAGCAAACCGGGCAGGTCAGGGAACATGCTTGGGTCTCCTGGGGTGGCTGTCACCCAGATGTTCAAGTTCTAAGCTGCCTCTGCCACTTTCCCTACCCATCCCCTCTTCTTCTAGGAAGCCCTGGGTTCCCACCCTAAAAATGAGATGGAGTTTGCACCCACCTTTGTAGAGTAATCTTGAGCGAGACCCTTCACTCCTTCACCTCTCAGGCAGGTACTGACTGCTACCAGCCTTGTGTCAGGCCCTGGGATGGACGGGGGGCGGGGGGTCATTGAGGGGTAGAGCTGAGAAAGACATCATTACCATAGGGCAGGGGGGTTGATCTCCTAGCTGGGAGCCATGAACTGTGGGTCAGTGCATTAAGCATTTATAAAATGCCCTGGAAACCTTTAAGTAACTGCTTGAAAAAGTAAAGGAAGGTATCACAGAGGAGATAGCTTTTGCATAAATGATTGTTGGGGCGTCCATTCTAGGCAGGTAGAATCCAAATGCTGTGGCACTGGCGAGGTAAGCTAGGATTAATGAAGGACTCTAAATGCCAGGCTAAGGAATTCGGAATGTAACGAGTCGTCAAGGCGCCAAGAAGGGCCCCCAAACGCAGAGTTGGCTGTCGCCCAGTTTGCGCATTAGAAGGATCACTCTGGCAGTGAGTTTGTTGGCTGACACACAGAGTTGACTTTGGACCGAGTGAGCTGGAGGGCCTCGGGATCCCAGGTTACGTGTGGAAGAGGCAGGTGGAAAGATGAACGTGTGCTCAGGGGAGGTGGAAGGCCAACGGTAAGGACGTGGGAGCCATCCTCAAAGCACGGAGAGCCGGAGGTGAGAGGACACATGGGATGAGAACGGGAGGAGTTCTCTGCCGCTCATCACCCCACCCTGAGGAACATGAGTGGCAGAGAGGGAGCAGCCACAGAGGTGGGAGGCAAAACAGAACTTTCAATTAGTAGAGGGGGCCCAGTGGGCCAAAGGCTGCTTCACAGAGGTTGAGGAGGAAGTAGAAGGGGTGGCCATGGGACTGGGGGACCTTTGGAGGGCAGCGGCAGATGGTGCAGGAAGGGCAGGCCCGTCTTCTCTGTCTGCGACCTGCCACCGCAGAAGCCTCTACCCTCCCTGAGTGAGGGGCTCAGGAAGGCCACAGGCAGCCTGGTTGTTCTTCCCCAGCCTCCCCTCCACCCCTTTGTCTGCCTGGCGCTCTGGGTGGGCATGCGCAGGGAGGCTGGCCCACTGCCAGCTGTTCTTCCTGCAGGCCGGCGGCCCAGACAGGGAGGGAACTGGCCCTAATTGAGCCTTTGTGGAGCCTCCCACAGAGCCCTGGACACTGCACACGGCAGGACGCCTGACTCTGTGAACTCCCAGCCAAAACCCCACAAAGTGAGATTGCAGAGGCAGGCCCCACACACCGCTGCGGCCGGGCCACACGCCCGTGCCCTGTGTGTGTCATCCTGACTCTCGCTGGCCCCTCTTCCTGTGTCCCTGGCCCGCAGTTGCCATCCCGTTCATCCGCCAGGCTGCAGCTCAGAAGCCAGCTCCCAGTGAAGACTTCTAGGACGCGTTAGAACTGATGCCTTTTAAATAAGTAGGCCCTTTCTCTGAACCTGAACAATGCCGTGCATGTGGCGAATGTTCCCTCACTTAACCCGCACCATAACCCTGCAGTGTGGTCGTGCTCCCTCTTTCATGGATAAGAGAACTAAAGCTCAGATACCAGGCCCAGAGCTGGGGGCTTCCCAGCCTGACGAGCGCAGAAACCCATGCCCTGCCCCGCTCTTCCTCGGCCAGCGGGTCTCAGGGGTGGTGGGACAGGTGGGGCGAGTGACCACCAAGGTGTGCCCAGCGTATTGCAGTTTCTAAAGCATCTGGTATCTGCCATCTGTTTGTCATCTTTGAGCCCCGCTGGCCGAGACTTAGAAAGTAAAGACTTAACTGTATTCCAGGTTACACTCACAACCTTCTCCCTGCCCCCCCACCCCAGCTTCAGCTTCCCATCCCTCTGACCCCTAAGCCAGAAATCTGGCCTCATCCTCACACCTTTCTCACTGCAGCCTGAAACCTGGCCACCAGGGCCAAAGATGTCTTTGACACCCTAAATGTCTTTCAAGACATATATGTCCCTTTGCTGATCCCGTCGTTCATGCCTCATTGTCCCACCTGGACCACCCCATTAGTTTCCTAATGGGGCGCACAGAATCATTGGCTGCACCTGGCTGAGTGGGTCATTTTGTACCACGACACTTTCTCCTGCGCCACTCCCCGCACCAAGGGTGTCCTCTCCCCCTTTCCTCTCTACGTGCCAAGGCTCTCAGTGTCCTCCTCTCACCCAGGGACCGCCCCACCTGCTTTCCCTAACCTACTCCCAATGGCTGTCCCCACAGTCTTCCACCAAAAGCCTGCGGACCACCATCGGCGAGGCCTTCGAGCGGCTGCACCGGCTGCTGCGGGAGCGGCAGAAGGCCATGCTGGAGGAGCTGGAGGCCGACACGGCGCGCACACTGACCGACATTGAGCAGAAAGTCCAGCGCTACAGCCAGCAGCTGCGCAAGGTGCAAGAAGGGGCCCAGATCCTGCAGGAGCGGCTGGCCGAGACCGACCGACACACCTTCCTGGCTGGGGTGGCCTCACTGTCAGAGAGGTAACTGCCCACCTGTCAGGGACCTTCCCCAGATGGGTATCCCCTCCCTAGCCCATGCGGGGTGGTGGGCATGGGGCAGATGGGGCAGTTAGCAGAGAATTCATTCATTCAAATCTTTATCAAATATATTGGACATTTTTTGTGTGCCAGAGACTATGCTGAAGGCTTTATGTATTTATATATACACAATATAGTATATATTACTTGTATTACAATATGTATGTCACAGTACATAGTGATGTACTATTTATAACATCGATATTGTATCATAGCCCCCCCGAAGGTAGTTACCACCATCATCCCCATCACACATGTGGACACTGAGGCACAGAGAAGCTGCATCAGTGGGCTGAGACTCCTCACGTGGTATGTCGGGAGAGCCAGGATGCACCCCAGGTCTCTCTGGTGCCATAGCCACCTTTAATGACAGGAACACTTACTCATGGATTTGTTGATGATCTACACTGATAACTACCATCACGTATTTGGTGTTGACCATGGCTGTGTCAAACATTCTGTATACGTTATGCCGTGTAATCTGTACAGCCTAGAAGGCAGGTGCTATCACAGGACCCATTTTAAAGATGAGGAAACTGAGGCTGATTGCTAAGAGATAGAAGGTGCCACAAGCAGGCACTTGAATCTGGGTCCGGCAGACTTCACACACGTGACCTCACCCTCTGTTAGCTACCGTGAAGGTGGCTGGTTGTAGGGCCCCAGCGTTGGGACAGGAATCCAGCCCCCAAGGCAACCTGCTCTCCTGCTCTCCTTCCAGGCTCAAAGGCAAAATCCATGAGACCAATCTGACATATGAAGACTTTCCAACCTCCAAGTACACAGGCCCCCTGCAGTACACCATCTGGAAGTCCCTGTTTCAAGACATCCACCCAGGTAAAGGCCCTGCCTGCCTCTCAATAAGAGCGCCCAGGGAGAAGCAAGGATTATCATGGGCTGAGGCTAGATGGGGCACATCCCCACCCAGCTCCCCTCTCTAAACACAACAAGGGGGCAGGCCCAAGGGACAAAAAGAGTGCCTTGCTGAATACCTACTGTGTTCTAGAGCCTATGCCGAGTACATATGTAATCGCTTAGCTCAAGGAATTTTCATATAACCCTAGGAGGTAAGTTCTATTAGTATACCCATTCTCCAGATGAAGAGACCGAGGCCCTGGGCAGTTTACAATATAAAGCACCTCCCTCACACCAGGCACTACTCTAGGTACTAGAGATACAGCAGTAAGCAAAACAGGCAAAAATCTCTACCCTTGCAGATCTTATGTCCTAGGTGTGAGAGACAAAGAAAGAAAAAGTAAATAAGTAAAACGCAGAGTTGATTAGGTAATGATAAAGGATAAGGAAGGGGGCTTGGGGATGCTGAGGTAGGACAGAAATTTTGGGTCAGGGATCCAGTTAGGAGACCACACTGAGAACGAGGCACGGGAGTAAAGACCTGAAGGAAGGAGAGTGACCTGTGTAGCCGTCCCAGGGAGGAGCGTTCCTGGCAACAGAAATAGCACGTGCAAAGGCCCTGAGGTGGGAGCAAGCCTGGAGTGTTCAAAGAACAGTAAAGAGGCTGGTGTGGCTGGAGTGGCAGGAGTGAGAAGGAAAGCTGGTGCAAGGAGGTGAGGGACGGATTAGTGGTCAGACCACGAGGGCCTGTAGGCCAGTTTGAGAACTTTACATTTTATGCTGAGTGAGAGGGGGGCCATTGGAAGGTTTGGGGCAGTGAAGCGACTTGAGCTGGCTGGAGTTTGTAAAGAATTTCTCTGGCTGCGGGGTTGAGAACAGACTGAACAGGGTAAAGGATGGAGGCTGGGAAAAGGGTTAGGAGACTGCTACTGTAATCCAGATGAGAGATGTGGGCAGCCTGGAGCCAGGCGGTGACAGCGGAGGTGGTGAGGAGTGATCAGATTTAGGACCTACTTTGAAAGGAGAGGGACAGGATTTGCTAATGGACTGGATCTCACGAGTGAGAGAAAGAAGACAAGGAAGCGGGCGACAGTTTTGGCAGAGGTTATGGAAGGATGGGACTGAGGTTCGCAGTGCCAGTTGGGTGTCTCAGTGCTGATGTGGAGGAGGTGGTTGTCATGGCAAATCTGCAGTATAGGAGAAAGGTCACGGCCAGCGTCCTCAGCATGGAGACTGTGTTGAATGAGCCTGGATGAGATCACCTAGGAAGTGAAGGCAGGTGGGAGAGAGAGGGGGCCACTCTAATATCTGGAGCCCCAAGACATTCAGGAACAGGACCAGCCAAGGAAGCAGAGAAGGAGCCGCCAGAGAAGTCGGAGGGAACCCCCCTCCTGGGTTGTCCTGGAGGCCTAGCGGAGAAAGTGGTTCCGGCAGGAGAGTGGCTCGTGGTGACAAAGGCTGCTAGTCCAAGGGTGGGAAAACCCGAAACTGACTGTTCTCCAGGTCCAGTGACATGAAGGTCTTTGCTGACTTTAACAAGATCTATCTCGGGAGAGCAGCAGGAGCAAAGAGGCTGACTGGAGGTGGTCCAAGAGAGACGGGAGGAGAGCAAGTGGGGACAGTGTGTGGAGACAACGCTTTCAAGGAGTTTTCTTTCGGGGGAGGAGAGGGAGTGCGGCAGCAGCTGCTTGTTTAAGGCACAAGAAATAACAGCGTATCTGTGGGATGATGGGAAAGACCCAGGAGGAGAAGGCAGAATTGAAGGTGAAGGAGGGAGACAGTGGCTGGAGAGACAGCCAAGGAGCGGGACCTGCTGGGAGCCCCGAGAAGGCAGAATGACGGGCACTGAGCAGAGCGGCCATGTGGGACTCTGGGAGTCCTCCGCTGGAGGCCTCACCTCCCTCGGGGAGGCAGGGAAGCCTCATCAGAGTGAGGATGGGCACGAGGAGGGAGCAGAGGTTTGCCAAGAGGGCAGAAGGTCTGCGTAGTTTTCCAGCAGAGTTAGCAGGCCCTGGGGCTCAATGCCTTCCTGAAATCACACGACCCACAGGGGCCGCAGATTCCAGCCTTTTGACAGCAGAGAACCTTGTGTGTTCCTGAGTCTGGCGCAATGTCCTTTACAGGCAAGACACGGATATACCAGGGAGTTCTCCCTGAGAATAGGCAGGCGCTATTGTTATCCTCATTTTTTCAGGTGAGGAAACTGAGGCACAGAGCTATTAGGAACTTTTCCATGGTCACAACCTTGTCCAGCAAGACAAGGACTATGTAAGAAAGGGACTTACCCAGCGCTGTGGGGGCCCAGAGCAGGTAACGGGGGGCTCTGATGGAGCAGCAAGGGGAGCCAGGGGACGTCGAACATCACTGGATAGATAATGTTTGAACTGAGCGCCAAAGCTGAGGGCTGTGCCACTCAGGGGAGGACGGAGCCTGCAAGTATCTTCGGACAGTCCCTGGTGGGGAGGGCATGGGCATGGGCATGAATGATCCCAGGGTGTTTGCAACTGGGCCTCCTGGGTAGGGATGGAGAGGGGCTAAGGCCAATCACCGAGCACATAAATGCCAGAGTTGGGGCTCCCCCGTAGGTGACGGAAGGCCTCATTTGATGCACCATTACCGATTTCACAGAAGTGAAGACACCCCTCCTAGTGCTCTATGCCCTTGTTCAGAAAAGGGGCAGTAACTGGGGGAAGGCCCGTTTTCCAGCAGACAGGGTGGGACTCTGGGTTATCCTCCTGGGCCTGGGGTCTCCGCGTGCTCCGACCCTCGGAGGGACCTCGCAGTGGGCCACTCGTGGCTGATGCAGCAGAACGCAAGGAGGCAGGCAGCACATCCAAGGGTCCTAGTCCCTCCCCAGCCACTGACCCAGGGAGGCCCCTCAGGGAGAGGGTCTCAGAGCTCTCTTTGCTTTGGGTGCCACCTGTTGCATCCCTGTCACAGCTCACAGAGGCAGTCCAGGCACCTCAGCCCGAGAGGCCCTGTGAGGCACATTCTCCCTCCTCCATACTCTTACACATGCGGCTCCCTTTGCCTGGAACCCTCTACACAAACCTCAGTCATTGATGCCTAACTCCTATCTCCTATCTTAGTTTATAAACACCCCTGTGGGGAAGCCTTCCTGGATTTCTCCAGGCAGCCCTAGGCTTTCCTGGTCTCACTGGTTTATCAGTGTCCCCGTGGCTGTCTCCTTCACTAGACTGTGAGCTCCGAGGGGTCAGGAGCTGGGTCTGATTCATCACTACATACCCCCAGCAACCAACACAGTAAATGTCTATTGATGAATGAATAAAAAAAAAAAAATGAGCCCTCGTCTCAGTTCTGCAGTTAGAACAGTAACTGGCATAAAGTAGGGACTTCATAAATATTAGTGGACTGAAAGAACTTGCCACATCTTCTTGAACAAGTTGCTTCCTTCCTTTGAGCCTCTGCCCTCCTCTGTGAAACAGGGATGCTTGTTTGTGTTCCCGTCTTGACTCCCCCACAAGAGAGCTAGTGGATGTGGGAACTCACTGCTTGCCCCAGAGCGGGTTTCTTAGCCTCAGCACTACTGACATTTGGGGTTGGATAAGGCCTTGTTGTAGGGGGCTGTTCTGTGCACGGTAGGGCATTTGGCAGCTTCTCTGGTCTCACACAGCTGGATGCCGCACCCTCCCCCTCCCCAGACTGCCCGAGGTGCCCTGCAAGGCACATTACCCCAGTTGAGAGCCACTGCCCCAGGGAAAGCTCCCCAGTGTGTGAGGAGAAGGGCTGAGGGAGCAGAGTGACATGTGCCCTGAACATCCTGCCAGAACAGAGGCCCCTGGGGAGTTCAGAGAACAGTGATCTGGTCAGTGAGGCTGGTTCTTTTGTCAGTAGGGCCTGTGAAGTCATTCTGGCCCCTCTGCCGGCACCAAGGCCCTTTATGTCCAGATGGGAGGGGCGGGCGCCCCCAGGGACCTAGCCCTCGGATTCTAGCAGCTTCCTGCATGCCCCCTTTGCAGCTCAGGCTTCCAGTTGGCTCCTCTGAGAGCTCACCTGTCACTCCCCCCAAACCCTCACCCCCTGCTCTGGAACCTCTCCTACCACCCACCCCTCGTCCCACCCCTCAGCGACATTGGAAACCCTCCTCCAACTGCCTGGCCTGCTTGTCCCAGCTCTCAAGCATCAAATTCTTCCCCAGCCAGGCCAGGTGGCCATTGTCCCAGGGACACGAAACACTACTCCCTTTTTTCCTACCACCTCCCTCTCCGGCCTGTTCTCCACTACCCCTGCTTATCTGGATCCAGTCATTTTGGGTTTCGTCGTGCTCGCTGCCCCCCTAGCTGTGCAAGCAGGGCCAGTCGCTGCCCTCTCTGAGCCTGTCTCTTTGTCTGTGGAACAGGCATCAGGAAAGTGTGATCTCCCTTCCACGCCACGGTACGTGTGAAAGTTACCTAAAACCATTTATCTGTGATAATAACTTGGCACTTAGTAGGTACGTGATACCTGTTTGTCATTATTACCGTGAATGTCAGATGGGTCGTCAGTCTTGCTGAACATGCTTTTTGGGGCCACAAAAGGCATGCGAGAAAAGACCTTAAATCATGTTCCAGTGCTACTTCCACCCCCAGTGACAACTTGAGCAAGGCACTGAACTTAGAGAATTCTCCTTGGAGCCTCAGTTTCCGAGTCTGAAAAATGGGTATGGTAATTTGTGCTCCAGGGGCCTCTGGGGTATTCCCGCCAGCTAGTGGGTAGGAAAATGCTTTTCAAATGCCAGCACTATGCAGCTGAGGGCCTGAGCGGGTGCAAGGCCTGAGGGAACAGAGTTTTTAAAGGACAGGCCTGAGCATGCTCAAAGTCACAGTCCTTGAGAACACAGAGGACTGTGCAGTTTCTGTGCTGCTGGGACTGCTGGAGAGTCCTTGTTGTGTGCTTAACGATGGCCCGGAGACATTCCTGGGGCCTCCACAGTCCACTTTCCTTCCCAAATGCCTTTGACCTCGAGGTCTCAGAGAGGCTTAAATGGACCAAGAACCCTCCTGAAGACCAGACGGGCTGCCTGCTTTTTGTTTTATAAAAACAGTGTCTTGGGGCCTAGGAAAGAGCTCTGACCTGTCAAGTAGTCAACCCCAGGGGACTGGACTTGCTTCCCTGGGGCTATCACCTCTCCTGAGGATAAAGGATTCGTGGAGGGGTCCCCTGACCTCTAAAAGGGAGAAAAAGTGCCTCATGTCCTCTTCTGAGTCTCTCTCTGATCTGAAGGCTGTTAACTGCTCTCAGCCCGAGCCTCAGGGAGGGTAAGTGGGTGGCCCAGAAGACAGGACCCTCTGTTTAAGATGAAGTGGGAGGCCCTAGAGGTGGCCCTCAGCTCACCCTTTGGGGTATAAAAGCCTCCCAAGAGTCAGGCCACGCCTTCTGCCCAATAACACCAGGCCCCACCCTAGCCCCGCCCCCAAGATGTGGGGTCCTGCCCTTGCTATGAGGACTCCCTCTCCCACCTCTAGTCCCACCTCCACTGCCAGCAGTATGCAGTGAGTGCCAGCAGACCCAGCCCCTAGGCCCACCTAATGAGTGGTGGGCCCTGCCCTCATCCAGCCCCCCTGGCTTCTGTGCCCAGGACCTGGCACTCAGGGCAGGATTTCCTCCTCGTGGACTCAGTGGTATTGGCCCCATCTCAGAACGACTGGCAGCCCACTTGGCCGCCTCCTAGATGAGCCTCCCAACTCTCAGCAGCACTGGAAGTGGCCGCTGCTACCTCAGCTCAAGAGTCTGGGGCTGAGCCCTCCTGCCCGTGTGCTGGTCTCCCCCCCCCAGTCCTTCTGCCCCAAGTTGCAATTTTGCTGGTCTCCTCCAATCATCCCGTGCACCTCGGATAAAAGGCCCAGGTGCCTGCAGGGCACTCGGAACTGCTGCTGCCCGCCGCTGGGCACTGTGCCTGCTCTGACCCTATGCCGCAGACACCTGAGTGCGGCCCACATTCCACAGCCAGTACAAGTGGCCCCATCTGTGTCTGATTAGATTCTTCTTCCCTTATCTCCTCCCCCTCAACACACACACTCTCTCTCTCTCTCTCTCCATCTTTCTCCACCTCTTACCTCCTGACCCCACTGTGGGAATCCCCACATTCCACGTGACAGGAGCCTTCTAGTCCCGACAGGCCGCAGACAGGGTGACACATTCATACTCGGACCCAGTGTCTTCCTTCCCGTGGCCCCCCCTCTTCAATATCCCAGGGTAGAGAATCATGTTTCCATCGACCCCTCTGTTCACAGGGCTAATTGTTTCCATGCAGCCCTCTGAATTCTAAGAACAGGAAAGGAAAGTGTAAAATGCAAAACCAAATTTACCCCTGACAGCCCTGACTGGTGTGGCTCGGCTGGGCAATGTTCCTCAAAGTGGAAGGTCGCTGGTTTGATTCCCAGGTGGGGTGCATGCCCGGGTTGCAGGTTCGATCGCTGGTGGGGGACCGTGTGAGAGGCAGCCTATCAATGTTTCTCTCCCCTTCTTTCTACCTCCCCTCCCCTCTCTTTAAAACTAAATAAAATCTTTAAGAAAAATTTACTGCTGACAGAGCTCATGGAGGAGCTTGCTGTGTCAAACAGGCAGCTTCGTTAGTGGGTACGTGGACAGGAGCAGGGTTCAGGGCCGTCTGTTGCTCCCTGTTGGGGACAGTTGCCATCACCGAGGCACTTTATTTCTGTGCACGTACACAGCCAATAGGAGTGGCTGAAGTAGGGGTCACGCTCCAGCCAAGTGTAACCATGCCCTGTTCACTGGTAAGGAAAGTGCCAGAAAGCCGGATGAAGTCCTTTCTTTACTCCAAAAAGTGGTGACAGGATTTCTTCTTGCTGCCTGTCCTCCCCTCCATCTTGCTCTGTCCTGGAAATGGTCATCGGCACTGAGGAGGATCGCTTCCACGTTCCCCCATCTCCCTGCTGGGCATCAGCTCCCTCAGAGGGTACACAGACAAGAGTTCATGGGACTTTGAGAGGCAAATCTGCTAAGCCAGCGTGGCCAGCCCAGGGCCAGGTGACGTAGCCCGCGCTGCCTGCTCAGAAAGCAACACAGACTGGGTCAGTTTGGTTTGTGAGCCCTTCCAGATCTGCCGCATGCACTAGGCACACGAGGGAGAGGCAGGCTGCACAGCACACAGTCCTTCCCTCCTGGGAAAGTGTGGGCCCAGAACACTGTACCCTGTACTGGGAGAGGCACAAATGAAGGTAAAGCATCTCAGAGGAAAGAGTGGGCGCACCTACTGGATAACCAGGAAGGCCTCCTAGAGACCAGCCTTGGAACCGAGCCGTACAGGGGGAGATTACAATAAGCAGAGGCGAGGTGGCAGAGAGGACAGTCTGAGTGAAGGCCTTGGGCCTGAGCGGGACGGAGACAGCAACTGAGAGGCAGACTGGAAGAGGGGGCCAGGCTGCGCTGCGCCTGGCCACGACTGGGCCTGGCTCTGCCGGTGTTTGCTGAGATACCTGAGACCAGTCTTGTCTCCTCTCTGGGTTTCCGTCTCCCCATCTGTCAAATGGGAGAATTGGCCTAGAATCAGTGGCTTTCAGCTTTTTCAGACTCATTATCTACCTTCATAACAAATAACTTGTAATGTCTCAAAGATAGAATGACCTTTTAACAATTTCAAGTATATATATAATATATGCACATATGCATACATATGTACTTGTACATCCTCTGAAAATAATGTAAAGGAAAAGCAGAAATAGTTTGTAATAATACTGTGCACATTGCCGTGTAGGTGTTCACTCACATCCACACTAGAAATCAATGAAGTAGTCAGGTAAAACACACCATCCTACCCCCAATGCAGCCCAAAACAGGTAGCTTATATCAATCAACTGCATTGTTCTTAGAAATGAAGTTTCCAGAGATGTGAACAATTCTCAGTGAAGTTTCAAACAGGACAAATTAGTCTTTCCTCAGTTGCATTCCAAAATACTCAGTTTATATTAAAACTGTATAAAGAGTATCATAATTTGGAAGTTATTGGTGGGGTGGCCCAGGACTGCCCAGTGGGTTTCCTTCGGGGCATTTAACATCCCTGTATCCTTGTATCTTTGAGACAGTCCAAACTCCCCACACAAATTTCCAAATCACCCCCAAAGGGGATTATCCAGCCCTCGAATAATCTTTAAGCTCCATCCCAGCTCTGAATTTGTTCACTAAACTTTTGTGAAGTGCCCACTATGTGCCGTGCCCCAGGCATCAGCAGTGAACAAGCAGCCGGAGCCCCTGCTTGCTGAGCCGAGCTGAAATCTGGAAGGACCTTAGCCTTCACTCTGCCCTTTTAAAGAAGAGAAAGCTGAGGCCCGAGAGGCTTGTATTCAGCATCACACATCCTCCTGTGGCCCAACCAGAACCCGACCCTCAGGCAGGTTCCACAGGGTGAGTCCACAGCCTTCCCTCCACTCATGTCTCCCTCCTCCATCCCCTGTAGTGCCAGCTGCCCTGACCCTGGACCCAGGCACCGCCCACCAGCGCCTGATTTTGTCCGACGACTGCACCATCGTGGCCTATGGCAACCTGCACCCACAGCCTCTGCAGGACTCGCCAAAGCGCTTCGATGTGGAGGTGTCAGTGCTGGGCTCTGAGGCCTTCAGTGGCGGCGTCCACTACTGGGAGGTGGTGGTGGCAGAGAAGACCCAGTGGGTGATCGGGCTGGCACACGAGGCCGCAAGCCGCAAGGGCAGCATCCAGATCCAGCCCAGCCGAGGTTTCTACTGCATTGTCATGCACGACGGCAACCAGTACAGCGCCTGCACGGAGCCCTGGACGCGGCTCAACGTCCGAGATAAGCTTGACAAGGTAGGCGTCTTCCTGGACTACGACCAAGGCCTGCTCATCTTCTACAACGCCGACGACATGTCCTGGCTCTACACCTTCCGTGAGAAGTTCCCTGGCAAGCTCTGCTCCTACTTCAGCCCCGGGCAGAGCCACGCCAATGGCAAGAATGTACAGCCCTTGAGGATCAACACCGTCCGCATCTAATGCACCGGAAGGAAACCGGCACTGGAAGGAAACTGAAAACACCAAGGCCATGGCCGCCAGAAGAGCCCTGCCCAGGGGACGGGAGGCCTGACTCCGTGGCCCAGCTCCTCCAGCCTGAGATCTCAGGCCAGTTGTTTACCCTTCAGCCTCCCTTGTCTGTAAAATAGAGGATGTGCTCCACAATTCCCAAGCCCTCTTCCAGCACTGATGTTCTGTAGCTCTGACCTTGATGGGGATGTACCTTTGGTCCAAGAATGTTACATGGCTTCTCCTCAGGGCAGCCCTTGCCTGACCCTCATCCCCATCCTCCAAGGGGCAAGGGACTGTCTCCCTGTATCTCCCTCCTGCCCACATGCCCTAACCTCAGGATATGTCAGAGTGTTGTTGCCAGCAGTTGGCAGCTCAGAAGATACTCAGAACCCTTAGGCTCCCAGGCCTAAGACTGCCCCTGACCAAGCTAGTGATGGCCCAGTGTACCCTTGACCCCAGCCCACAGTGAGCACAGGCAGTATCTGGACCTAGTGTGGCCTGAGAAGTGCCCTCTCCTTCCACCTCTGGACCAAGAACTTTAGTGTTCCTGCTTCCCCCCCTCCTCTGCAGGTAGAGATGGTGCTGTGACCTGTGGAAGGCACCCAGTAGTTGAGCTCATGTTTGTTACTGTACCACCACTGTCCTGCCCACGGGTCTAATGGTGGGACAGTGGCACACCTCAAGGCTGATTAGAGCCCAGCAGCCCAAAGGCAGCTACAGGACAAGCATCATCGGATGATGAGGCGTGGATACGGGTCCGGCCAGACCTCCAGACCTCCAGACCTCTGTGACCAGGGGAGGGTGTGGGGGAGGCTGCGGAAAGCAGGTGTTTTAATCACAACCTGAGAACTGGAAAGGGCTGTTGGGTGGGAAGTCTCATCAGGCTTCTATCTCCATTAAGATCCCGTTGTGGCAAACAAGAGCTGCTCTAGCTGGTTTAATTAGACAGGATTTATTACTGGGTCCCTGATGGCTTTGCAAAATCATTGCAAGGGCTGGAGGAGCAGACTCTTTGCTGAATTTCCAGGAATTGCTCCCAGCTGCCAGATTCATCATGTCTCCTGACCAGGAACACTGCTTCCGTGTGCAGGAAGCCATGGCTTCAGGAAGCTGCTGACTACGGAATTGTGCTCCCTCTGCTACTCGTCATGCCAGCAAATGAATGTCCTGAGGCCTGCCTCTCACTCAATTCAGTTCCCAAACTCAGGTCTCTCATGAAGGATTCTGTTTGGGGGATTGTAAAGCAGATCCAGCACCTTGGTTGCAAGGGAGTCTGGGAAATGTAGTTCTCTTTTTTCCAACCTCAGCCATTTAAAAAAAAAAAAAACACTACTAGAAGGAAGTTCAAATAGATGTTGAACAAATCCACCCATGGTTTTTGCCACTGGAGTCTACCTCCAGGCCTTGGCTTTGAAGCAGCAGAGCCTCTGGGTCTCCTGCTCCCAGGCTCTGGCTCTGTCCCTGCCCAGGGGCAGGAGCCCAAAGCATGGGCCTGCAGGGCCCTGCTGAAGTGTCTCCAGCCTTGGCTTTTCTTTCTAGTCTTTGGGCCTAGATTCTGAACTTGGGATCTCTGACCAAATCCATCCCAAAGAAGCCAGACTAGCTGAACTTGGGGGTCTCTAACCTCACAATGCTGCCCACTGGGGCCCACCTTGGGCAGGAGAAATCCTCAGTTTTACCCCACCCCTTCATTTCCTGGAATATGGGCCACCCCCAGCAATATTTTAAATGTAGCCCATTTTGTGAGTTATGATAAATTTATATTAAATTAAGGTTATAGGATATCAATGGTCAGTTTCATTCATTTTGACAAAAAGGCCTGCCCAGTATGTCTCAGGCAGTCTACATACATTAGCATGGGTAATCCACAAAGCACCTTATTGGGTAGATAGTATTATGCCCATTTACAGAAGTGGAAAAATGAGGTTAAAAATGAAGACATGACTTAATCACACAAAGAGAAGAGGCAAAGGCAGCCTGACCTTGGGGAGGAAGAAGGGGTCAGCAAAGATCTTACCCAGGATAATGGCTAAGGCTACAGGAACCCCATTCAGATCTCCATTTGTGGTCAGCAGGCAAAACACTAGTACTTTTTGTCCTGGCTGGTGTGGCCCAGTGAATCGAGCATCACCCTGTAAACTGCAAAGCTGTCAGTTCAGTTCCCAGCCAGGGCACATGCCTGGGTTGTGGGCCAGGTTGCTGGTTGTTGGGAGCGTGCTGATCAACATCTCTCTCCTTCCTCCCTCCCTTCCCCTCTCTCTAAAAATGAATAAATCTTTTTTTTAAGTGCTGGTACTTTTTAAGGCAAGCCCATGAAGTTGCTATCATCTCAGTGTTTGAGTGGAGGCACATTACTTCCCAGGGGACCCACAGCCAGTATCATCCAAAGCTAGAGCCAGACTCTTCACTGGACCTCCCTGGGCACGCTTCTCAACTTGGAGGACAGTTTCAGTGGCAGGAAGTGGCCCCCGGAACTGTGATCTCCCTGGGATTCAAAGTGGAAGCTTGACCCAGGCTGCACACCATTGTGGAACGGTGCGATTGTGAGTCAAGACTCAACTGCAGCCAAGCCTCACGTGTCTCCTGGGGTCAGGGGTGGACTCATGAAAACACTGTGTGAAGCAGAGCAGGTCCCTTCTCTCCCTGGGCCTCAGGTTTCCCATCTCTACTGGGGAGGGGCTAGAGATCTAGGTAAATGTTAGCCAAAGTCTGGCTCTGATGGTTCAGGATTCTGTGAGTCTAATGTTTGTCTCAGGGCTTGGCCTGCTCAGCACCTAACAAGGCCATTAACCCTGGATCCTTCTCTCTGGGGTGGAGCAGGAACAGAAAACAACAGAGATAAGGTCTCTTGGCAGCACAGAGCTTGGCTCAGGGGCTCTGGGGATGAGCCTTCCCTCCTGCCAGAGAGAGCATCCCTGGAGGCTGACTGCTCACACCCGAGCAGCATTCCCAGCTTCCTCCCCTCCTGTCCGGGTCCAGGCTTTGTTTGCTGCCCCCAAAAGCTGCACCAGGAGATCAGTTGCAGAGGGCCATGTCACAGGTGTAAATACAGGGGGCTGGGGATGGGGGGGGGGGGGGTGCTGGCCAAGGTGCTGAATCATCATTGCCCACCAGGGCATATGGTTATTTCTCCTTACCCATGATTCCCCCCAGTTCCCTGGGAATCTGAACTACATAAGGGATGAGGGAGTGATGGGAAGAGGGAGTGATGAGAAGTAGAGCAGAAACCCTAGCAGGGGCAGGGTAGGGCCATGGAGAATGTGGTCAGGAGGCACAAACGCCAAAATAATAGCAGGAGAAGAGGAAAACTTTTATTTTGAAATGTGCTCGTTTTTCTTTATTTTTCCTTTTACCTGGATGAACTTCTGTGGGGTTTTTTTTTTACCCTGAATACAGCTATCTTATTTCAAAATTTTGGCAGTTCTCTCATATTTACTAGTAAAAAATGTTCTCCACTCACCCTAGGAATTAGATGAAGTAGAGGAAGAAGTGACACTTGGGACCAGAGGCCCAGGGGCTTCCTACTCCAATGTCATGACAACAGAGAACCTTTCAAAGATGGAACCAGAGGCACAAAGCCCAGGTTCTCATGAGCTCCCCCAAACTGTGAGTCTGGATGTGATCACGTCTGAAGGCTGGAGAAGCCTGGTGGACCTTCCAGCCCAATTCAGAGGCTCAGAGAGAGTTGGTTTCTAGCTCAAGGTCATACAGCACATGGCAGAGCTGAGGGCCAAAAGCCCAGGTTTCCTGGTTCCCAGTTAGCACACAGGGGAGGGAGAATGGCCAGTGGAGAGGGCCCCTGCCCAGGGAAGGAAAAGGAGCACAGAGGGGCAGCTGCAGATTGGCAGGGGCAGGGTTGAGGAAGGAGGTACTCAGAGGGGAACCCCCATTCTCCTCGAAGCAGGTCTGAGCAGGTCTAAGAAGGTCTGTGAGGGCTGCAGCTCAAAGGTCATAGAGCCGGGAAGTTCTCTCTAAGGTGGAGACAGACCAGCTGAGCATTCGGGTCAGCATCACAGCCCCCAGGAGGGCTGCTGAGAGACCACGGATCTCACCTCTGTCATTTTACAGACAAGAAAATGGAGACCCAAATGGGAGGACACCAGCCTGTGGGGCAGAGCCAGGCCCAACCCAGGGCTCCCAACTCCGAGCCATCCGCTCTTTTCGCGCAACCTTTAATCTCCCCACTGTGGATTCTGGTGCCTCCTCCCACCCCCTGGGAATGCTGATCGTGAGCAGAAGGAGAAGGGGAGTGGCCAGGGCCCCCACAACCCCAGGTACCAAGAGCTGGGTTCCTTCCTCCATCCTCACTCCTAAGGAGAAAGGAGAATTGGTGGGGCCCCACCTGCCCCTCCTCCAGGTCAGAGCCCTTTGGTTCCTGCCCGCACCTGGTGCCTCTGTTGCCGGCAGCAGAGCCCAGAGCCAGAGCCAGCCACAGCAGGGGCAAAGCCACCAGGGCAGCTACTGGAGCCACAGGGAGTCACAGGTAAGTAAGGGCATAGGGAACGGTGGCCCCAGTGGGTCACCTGATTCCATGGCACCTTATTCCAGCCCTGGGGCCTGGAGTGGTTTGGGGGTTTTGAGATCTTTTTTTTTTTTTTTTTCCCAGAGAAGGGGCTTTTGCCCACTCACTCCCCGGGCCCAATTCCTCACTCCCACCCCTTGCCAACCCGATGCTAGAGCCCTTCCCTGGCTGAACTGCTAGACTACAAGCAGGAACAGGGAAGTGGGTCCAGCGGCAATGTTTCTGCCCCTGGAAGGTGATGCAGATCAGAGGCCAGGGAGGTCCCAAGAACAACAGAGACTGGCTGAAGGTGTGTGCCTCCCACAGGTGCGAGGCTGTGGGTCTATCCTGGGCGAACCCTGCTAAACCTGGGTGGGTCCCAGCTCCATCCCTGACTCTCCAGTGGCCCCGGATCTCTCCCTTATGGGTGTCCACTCCTCACTGGTTCAGCAAGAAGAATGGTGACCTTGGACTCTGGGGCAACCACCAGTTCTAAGGTTCTAGCTCGGGGAGGTCTCTCAGAGTTTGCACAGCTGTACTCCCCACCCCACCCCTCCGTCTGTCACAGTTCTGAAATGCCCTCCTCCATCCCTTTCATTCCTCCATCCAAACCTACCCTCCGGTGTTCCTCAGGGTAACTGGCTTACGGTTCGAGGTGCCACCCCCTTCCTGACCTGTGAGCACATACAACAGGAGCCACTCCAAAAGAATGGCTAGTGGTGGGATTGCAGGCACCACACCAAGCAGATGTAGGAAAGATTATAGGGGGACAGGAAGGGGGAGGGGACTTCTTATGACTCCACACAGGCAGCACCACAGCAGCTGTTACTGTGTGGGCACAGACCCAGCTAGAAATGACAGTGGCTCTGTGGACCTGGCCCATCCAAGCCTTACTCTTGGCTCAGCCTTTAGCTCTCACTCCCCTCACCAGCACCCGCCCAGCACAGGCCAGTGTTGACACAACACAGCCTCGCTGTTCCCAGGGGCTTCTGGTGGAGGCAGAAAAGACTGTACGTCACGCTGGAATCAGAGCACCCAAAAATACAAGGCTCCTGCCCTGGCTGGTGTGTGTCAGTGGGTTGGAGCGTCACCCCGTAGACTGAAGAGTCACTGGTTTGATTCTCCATCAGGGTGACTGCATAGGTTACAGGTTCAGCCCCCTTTCTGGTGAGTCTAAAGGCAACCAATTGATGCTTCTCTCTCATATTAATGTTTCTCTCCCTCCCTTCCCCCTCTTTAAAATCAATGAGCATGTCCTTCGGGAAGGATTAAAAAGAAGAGGAGCATTAGGACCCCAAACGGAGAGTGTTAACCATATTCTAGCCCTCAGAACCCCTGCTTTTGTAATACTCACTCCCTGCCCAGAATGCCCTTGCCCTCCTTTTTCTTCTGTTGAAATAGTAATCATCCTTCACATCCTACTCAAGGCCAAGCTGCCCCCGTCATTCCAGTCCAGCAGAACACAGTGCTCTGGGCCCCAGCAGCACGTTGGGACCCCCCCTACCACTAGAACGTGAGCACACCGAGGCAGGGACCATGTCCTGGCTCTGTCTGATGGGCGCAGAAAGGGCCCCAGAAAATGTTTACTGGTTGGTGTCAAAGCCGGAATCACAAGAGCCCCCCATTTCCAAGTTGGGAGGATTCTTAGAGACTGGAGACAGTGCCCCCTGAAGATGCTGGGACGGCTGCTGAGTGCCCAGGGTGAGCCCGCGGGTCGCCCCAGCCCGGTTTTGCACGGGGAGACCCAGGGAGTTGGTGATGGCTAGGAAAGTCGTTCGGCTGTTTGCCTTTTTAAAAATTATAAAATAACTTATGCTCATTGTTTTAAAAATTCAAATAAATATAAGACTATCAAGCTCAGAGTCCCCTCATTCGGCTCCCAGAAATCAACAGCTGTTAACGGTCTGGTGCAGGTCCTTCCGGGCCTGTTTGCCCGTTATGCACAAACATAAACAGAATTTTCTGTTACAAAAATATGCTCACTTATCATCTTTCTACACGCTCTGTGGAATAAACTTCTACAAAGGGGATTGTTGGCCAAAAGGTGTGTCATTTAAAAATGTGTTGCTTCCCTTCGTAAATTTCTTTTCTCACAACATGCTCATTGTACAAACTTTGGAAAACACAGTCAAGCCACACAAAGGATAAGTGACCGTCGTCACTGCCCAGAGAAACCACCGCTAGCGATTTCTTTGGTGGAAAGTTTTACAGCCTTTTCTCCCCACTCGAGTGTGTTTAGTTACAAATATCAGAACACGCTCTGCTACTGTCCCAGGGCTTGCTTTTT